CTGCCCTCCCCCCCCTCCCCCAAAAGCTTTGCAGCTAAAAGTCAGTTCTACTGACTCCGCTTTATAGAGCAGCTTCTTTTATAGTGTCTTCTATAATTACATCTGTCCACTGCCCCAGCTGCTCCCTAATAGCTCTGCTTGGCTTCAGTGAAAATGGCTCATCTCTCTCCCTGGAGAGCTTTAAATAAAAGATCTGTGTATCTCTGTGTGGGGATGAGAGGATAAAGGGATGAGGGACTGGCTTTTGTTTTTCTTTTTTCTTTTTTAATTTGCTGCCTCTATTTGAGATGGGGATATAGGTGGCCAGCCTGAATTAATTTGATAGCTTTGTGGTGACACCCTAAGGATGAAGGAAGGTTTGGGATTGTGTCAAGCTCTGGTTTAGAATGACTTAATACAATTCTGCGGACGTCAGGATTGCTGTCCTCAGAGGCCCATGATGTTCTGATGTATGAGGACTGCACATTATCCTAAAAGCAGGCAAAAATAATAACATCCTGAGAGACCACATCACAGGTCGTGGTTTTTAAATATAAGTCTGGTAATCCGTTTTTGCACATATTCTTTTCGTTTGCATTTTTCCTTCTCTAATTCCCAGCCTCACCATCACATGCAGAGAATGCTTGGTGTCCTGGCATTACTAATAGAGTAACGCTTCTCAATAGAATCTAGCAGCCCTAGCCGGTTTGGCTCACTGGATAGAGCAGCGGCCTGGGGACCGAAGAGTCCTAGGTTCGATTCCAGTCAAGGGCATGTACCTTGGTTGCAGGCACATCCCCAATAGGGGGTGTACAGGAGGCAGCTGATTGATGCTTCTCTCTCATCGATGTTTCTAACTCTCTATCCCTCTCCCTTCCTCTCTGTAAAAAATCAATAAAATATATTTTAAAAAGAAAAATAGAATCTAGCGAGACTACCAAACGAAAAACCACCAGGATTTCTGGAGGCCAGCGAGCGTAGCTTGTAGCTGGAAGATGCCTTCAATTGCAGGTGCTCAGGCATCAGGACTGGCACCACACCGTATTTTAAAGGTCAAGTTCATCCTGCCTGTGCAGTCCTGGAATCCTGCTCCGCCAACCACAGCAGCTGATCCAAGACAGTATTGATAAGGAACAAAGACAGTATTGATGAGGATGACTTAGATATGCATATTTTAAATTCCCTTCCGCTTTTCAAGCTTGACTCTTCAATGGCCAAATCTTATTTCCCGTGCTTTGTCCAAGCATTCCCTGTGACATCAGAGATTCCCAGTTGGGTGTCTGCACACAGGCAGATGGGGGCAAACCTTACATATTAAAAGATTAAAAGCTTTCATACTTAATTATATTGAAATATTAAAAGTGTTGAAATTGAGCATACTCTTTGGCTTAAAAATTCTACCTTTGGGAATTAAAGAACTAAGTAGACAAGGATATAAATTCATATGCCCAAGGATACCCGTTGACGTTAGGCCTATGTTTAAGAATGTGGACCCTGGGGTCAGATGGCCTGGGTCGCAATCTTGCCTCTACTTCTTATTAGTTGTGTCACTGTTTTTGTGTCATTCAACTTCTCTGCCTTGTAAATGTCCCGACCTCATAGGGTCTGTGCTATCACAAGAAATAAATGACTTAACCTGTGCAAGATGCTTAGGATGGTTTCTGGCATATAGTGTTTGTTACCAATAGTAGGAAAACTGAAAATAGCCTCCATATACGTTGATTTAATGAAACAAAATGTGGTCTGCTTTCAAGATATTCACATATTGAAAGAAAGACAGTTAGGTTACATGGTAGTGTATTAAATCTGAATTCTAAAGAGTTATATGTCAAAAGATTATAGTTTTGGGTTTTTTTTTGGTAGTGGAATTATAGACTACATGTTCCCCTCTGGACCATTGCTATTTTCTAAATTATCTATAAAGGAAATGTATAGTATAATAAACATTGTCTTTTTAACATCTTCAGAGTAATAACAGATAACATTTATTGAAAGCTCACAGTGGAGATCAGGTTATATGAATATATGCATTGCTTGCACTGTCCCTATGAGGCAGGTGCTATGATTATCATCTCCATTTCACAATAGAGAAACTGAGGCACAGGGAGGCCCTGTCTGGCTCAGGGCCTGTACTTTTAGATTAGCTACTCCCTTTGTATGATTTCAGCACCAAAAGAGCAATGAACTACAGCATCCACAACAATAACCTCGTCGCATTCACTGTTTAAAGGAAATGAGTAAAGAGCGCCTCTCCTTCCTTGTGTCTGTGTTGCCAGCTAATAGATAAATTGGGGGAGGGGGGATCAGGTCTCCAACCTTCCTCTTAAGTTATCGTGCTTAGCAAATGGGGAAAGTACATCAGGTGATGTAGTAAAATTGACTTTTCTGTGTAGCCCTTAAATCAGCGGTTCTCAACCTGTGGGTCGCGACCCCTTTGGCGGTCAAACGACCCTTTCACAGGGGTCGCCTAAGACCATCCTGCATATCAGATATTTACATTACGATTCATAACAGTAGCAACATTACAGTTATGAAGTAGCAATGACAATAATTTTATGGTTGGGTTACAACATGAGAAACTGTATTTAAAGGGCCAGAAGGTTGAGAACCACTGCCTTAAATAGAGTGCATTGACTTTACATTGCATTAACCAAACTGGAAATAGTTATAATTTTGCAAATCATAAACTGAAATAGTTGAGAAGTAACATATTTTTTTCACTTTTATATTATTCAGATAGTCCTGAGTGCATCTATTGGGTACCCTGAATGAGCCTTCTAATCTCTTTCATATGTGCAGAAGATAAGTTCAAAAAGTACAGGAACACGGTGACATTAGGGCCTGCAAATACGTAAGAGTCAATTATTTAGTTCCTGTAGCAATGAAGTGTCCCTTCAGTTCAGAGAGCTTAATTACCACAGATCAAAGGCATCACGAGGAAACAGTGGATTTTCAGCAATTGTCTGTTTCTCTTGTAGAATTTCCACACTGGGGACTGAGCCTGCAACCCCGGGCATGTGCCCTGACCAGGAATCGAACCGTGACCTCCTGGTTCATAGGTCGATACTTAACCACTGAGCCATGCCAGCCAGGCACACAGTATCTATTTTTTAAAATCTTCTACCTTTATGATTTAATAACCAACCTGGTAATTTACTAGCATACAAAGCTGGTTGAAGGAGGGTGTCCAGACTAGTGTGTTCCTGGGTACCACGACCAATCGTGCATCCTTGAGACTAAAATACGAGTTTAGCCAGTGCATTTCTCAGAGGCAACTAATTAGGTTCGGGGAGCTTCTGGAGTTCAATTTATCATTAGATAAAGTCTCTGAAATCCAGAAGGCCTGGCCTGTCCCATCTTGATAAATTGCCAGCCTAATCCTCCCAGAACTCTGCTGGGAGGTGAAATTCACTACTGTCTCCTGTGCTCAGAGATCATTCTTGATCTTTTTCCCAGAAGAGGCCGAACTTCCTGAGAGGTGCTGGCAGCCGGGGGAGGGATCTCTCTCCTTGCGGTTGCTTACCTTCCGGTCTAGCAAATCTACTAGTAATACAACCCGTCAGCGACAGGACCTGCTCAGCAGTGGGCCAGTCTGGCCACATCTTGCACATATGGCTCATCTTGCCAGTTAGCAAGATGGTAGAACTCTCCCGTGTCCCCGCGTTCCCCGCTGCCTTGCTATGGATGCGGCATGGTTCATGCAAGTAGCACGAGGATTTGGGCAGGCTTTGTCGCTCACAAACCTCGCACAAATCAGCCTTGGTCTCCTCAATTGCAGAACAGTGAGATGAATGCCTGCCTTACAACGTTGTCAAAAATATAAAGAGTAGAAAGCATCTCCTGCAGGGCCTGGAACCTGCTAAGCACTCACAAAGTCGTTTTTATTATAATCATTGTTCACTGCCCGTTAGAAACGCAGGGGACTTAAATGACTCATTTTTTCCCTCAACTCACTAATGTGAGCTGGCCCTGGGTTCTAGACCAGAGAGTCAGGAGTTGTGTTGTAGGAGTTGAGAGACAAGGTCAAATAACTGGTACACCTAGGTTTGCTTCCTGAAAGCAAAAGGAACTTCATCTTTTATTTCATCTCTTTCTTCTTCCCACTTATTCTCTCTCGCCTCTCTCTTCCCCTCCCCTTCACTTCCCCAGGCAAGCCCTGGAATATTTTCATTACAATTTCAGAACCACGTATTTGTTGTTGTTGGAGACGGGATCCATATTAATTATTCTACCACACTCCTAATTACACACCAAACTCTAGTCTGTACTCAAGATACAATGCGACGATCCTAAGCTAATGAACAATCCTTCCACCACCACCCCCCCCCTCCTCCCCAAAAAACACCTACATTTTCCAGTCTTCCTGTAATTCAGAGGTTCCATCACTGTGAACTTTTTTCGTTCTGTTTGGAAGCACTCAATGCCTGCTTTTCGTTAAGGTTCTGTTTTATAGCAAAACTGCAGCCGCAGTCAGAGAAAGGCCATAAGCAGATAGCACGGTTCCAGCACTTATCTGGAGCCCAGGCTTGCTTCCTGACCGCTTCTAACTGGTTGATTGTCTCCAGACCCCGAAGTGCCAAATGCAAGTGTGGCTAGGCTAGCTGACTACAAAAGCCCAAAGATAAACTCTCGGAAAAACTATGGGACTGACGAGCACGCTGTTCGTGTTGCTTACAGTTTGGGCCGGCACGTGGATGAGGCTGAGAGGGCCTGTGACTCACAGGGCGGGCGCACGTTTCTCCCCCACGTGGGTCACTGTTGGTAGTCTGCTGGACGCCGGGCATCTGCAGGCAACCAGCCTCCTGTGCTTCCAAGCTGTGCTTACGAAACCATGTCCTTGTGTGTGCGCCTTCTCTTGGCTGCTTCGGGGAAGACAGCCCAGGGGCTGGGAGCTCTGGAATCTTGGCACGTGCCGAGTTAGAGAGCAAAGGCAGGGCGCCAGGGGCCCCGGGAGGCCGGGAGCTGGCCAGCGCGTCCTGGGTTTCCTTCCCCTCATGCCTCTCCCCCCTGTTGTTTTGCAGGTAGTGAAGCCGATTTTAGCTCCTCGAGCAGCACGGGCAGCATTTCCGCTCCTGAGGTCCACATGTCTGCCGCGGGAAGCAAGCGCTCCTCTTTCTCACGCAAGTAGGCACTGTCTCCTGCTCTGTGATTATTAAGACCCTTTGCACAGGTGACTAACCTGGACTTGATGCTTCTATAGAGCCGCCCAGATGACTGTCCACTCATATCTTATTGGTCAGTGAGTGATTTTTGTTTGTGTTTTAGTGATTAGAAATGGGTGGTTTTCTCTACCTGTCCTCCTGTGGTCACGTGGCGTGGCCTCTGTCATCTCTCATCCAGGCCTTGGCTCTGGGTCCAACCTGCTTTCTCTTCCTCACTCACCTGTGTACTCACCTGGGTATCCAGCTGGCCTTCCAGTTTCCACCCGCCTCCCCTCATGAATCTAGATTACGAATTCACCCTTTCTTTCTTCCAGCTGAGCTTCCTTTTCTTCATTTTTGTGCAAGAAGCATAATGACCATGTGGGCATCCCAATATTTACGTGGGGAAAGGGTGAGGGAAGTATGACGTCCATAAACATGAGTGGCCACCACAGAAAGGGGCAAAAGAGCTAAATAGCTAAGTGTGTGGGCTCTGGGGTCAGGCTACACCTTGGTTTGAACAGCAGCTTCACCTACAGGCTGTGTGGCTGCGAGCAAGTTGCTTAGCTTCTCTAAGCCTCAGTCACCTCGTCTGTAAAATAGGGCTATAGTCATACCCACCTCATAACGTTCATTGTTAGGATTAGATTGGCTGATAGAGGTAAAGTGTGGGCTCAGTGCTTGGAGCACGGTAAGCATCAACAGGGTTCGCCATGGATGCTGTTTGGATTGAGGGGAGAAGACTGGGGGACATGAGAGCCTCTTCACATGGGGTGGGAGAGGGATTCTCTGCCACCATCAGTGACTTATCCTACAAGTATTTGTTGAGCATCTACTCTGAGACAGGTTCTGGAGATAGGGCAGTAAACAAAATGCCATGAAAATTATATTCATTCTAGCAGGGAAAGAGAGACAATAAATGCATAAGTGATATAATTACTTTTAAAACGTGCAGGGAAAGGCTATTCTCTTCCTCACTCACCTGTGTACTCACATGGGTATCCAGCTGGCCTTCCAGTTTCCACCCGCCTCCCCTCATGAATCTAGATTACGAATTCACCCTTTCTTTCTTCCTTTTCTTTATTTTTGTGCAAGAAGCATAATGACCATGTGGGCATCCCAATATTGACGTGGGGAAAGGGTGAGGGAAGTATGACGTCCATAGGCATGAGTGGCCACCACAGAAAGGGGCAAAAGAGCAAAATAGCTAAGTGTGTGGGCCCTGGGGTCAGGCTACACCTTGGTTTGAACAGCAGCTTCACCTACAGGCTGTGTGGCCCCGAGTAAGTTGCTTAGCTTCTCTAAGCCTCAGTCACCTCATCTGTAAAATAGGGCTATAGTCATACCCACCTCATAAGGTTCATTGTTAGGATTAGATTGGCTGATAGAGGTAAAGTGTGGGCTCAGTGCTTGGAGCACGGTAAGCATCAACAGGGTTCGCCATGGATGCTGTTTGGATTGAGGGGAGAAGACTGGGGGACATGAGAGCCTCTTCACATGGGGTGGGAGAGGGATTCTCTGCCACCATCAGTGACTTATCCTACAAGTATTTGTTGAGCATCTACTCTGAGACAGGTTCTGGAGATAGGGCAGTAAACAAAATGCCATGAAAATTATATTCATTCTAGCAGGGAAAGAGAGACAATAAATGCATAAGTGATATAATTACTTTTAAAACGTGCAGGGAAAGGCTATGGGAGAGTAATGGGGTGTGTGGTGTGTTTCAGAGAGGGGGGTTCTGGGAGACCTCGGCGATGAGGTGAGCTCTGAGCAGAGACCTGAACAAAGCGACGGATGAGCCACAAGGCACTTGGGAGTGATTTGTCTCTAGACTTTGGGGATGTCACTTGGCTCTCCTGGGCCACAGTGTCCAAATGTGTATAAAAGAGGTTGGACTACACGATGTTTTAAGGTCCCTTCCTGGAAGAAAGCCGTCCCATTTCTAAAACCTTGCATTTCCAGGAGTCAGCAGGCGAATAGTTCCATTCCTCTTGGGGAAGCCGCAGCTTGGGGTGATGTTTACAGAGGGACCTGAGACCCACAGTGTAGAGTTTATTGAAAACAAAGCTGAAGCCAGACAAACCTGTAACAAAAGGGCGAAGTCCACATGAAAAAGCAGTCGTTCTATTCCCAAACACCATCTGTTTTGGAAATAAAGTGCCTCTGAGATCACAGGACAGTGCATATAAACGTTCTCTGTGTAAGTCAGATGTGGCTTGCTCTGAAAACAACCCATTTATCTAACCCATTCAAGAAATTAGCCCATACCCATGGTACAGGTATCAAAGAGCAGAGGGGCCAAAGGAAAAACAAATGTCCTGAAGAAGAAGCCAAATTTATTAAGCCTTTCAAAGGAATTTGTATTTGTGGTTAAATTTCAAGGTAATGCCAGTAATGCTGAGTGACTTAGAGAAAATATGCTAGTCTGGAATCCATGATATCTCTAAGTGGTTAAAAACTGATATGATAAACATAAAATAGCTAAATCTAACTATGTGCAAATCAGGTGTATGTTTAATAGATGGAAAATTGAAGCTGGAAATGTTCTATCCATTATCCTCACTTTTTTTTTAAATCCTGACCCCAGGACATGCTTATTGGTTTTAGAGAAAAAGAAAGGGAGGGAAGGAGGAAGGAAGAGAGAGAGAGAGAGAGAGAGAGGAGAAGAGAGAGAGAAAACAGTGACCTGGGAATCAAACCTGCAACCCAGGTATGTGCCCTGATTAGGAATCAAACCTGTAACCTTTCAATGTACAGGACAACACTCCCACTAACTAAGCCACACCAGTCAGGGCTCTCACTTTTTTTTTTTAATCTGACCCAGGCACAGAGCACCATGAGTAGATATCTATGATGGAATTAGCTTAGCATTTCACATAGTCTTTGTGATCCACACATTGAGGGCAACTCCTCTAGATGGGCCAGTATCCATGCCAAATTCTGTAATAGCTTGTGATCTGTTTATAACCTTTCAGTGTACAGGACAACACTCCCACTAACTGAGCCACACCAGTCAGGGCCCTCACTTTTTTTTTTTAATCTGACCCAGGCACAGCACCATGAGTAGATATCTATGATGGAATAGCTCAGCATTTCACGTAGTCTTTGTGATCCACACATTGAGGGCAACTCCTCTAGATGGGCCAGTATCCATGCCAAATTCTGTAATAGCTTGTGATCTGTTTAATTGGCTCATTCCTCCTGTTAGAAAGGAATGTTCTCTGTGGAGAATTAGCTCCTGGGAGAAAGCATGGCAGGAACATTGGCAAAGGTGGGGTGGGAGGAATGAGGGACAGGTGGAGTTGGGGAGAATAGTTTTGATAGGTGATTTTAAAAACAACACGTTAGAGATTGGCCAATGATCTCTTCTTATAGAAGGCCAATTCTGCTGATGTATCTGAGGCATTCTCTTCCTTAAACTAAAACCCTATCTGATCAGAGGCAGACGGAAGCGAGAAGAAAAGAAGGGCTTGGGATTTGGAGTCAGACAGTCCTGGACCTGAGTTCAGCCTCCACTGTTTATTAGGTGCATGACCCGGAGCCCCGAGCCTCAGTTTCCTCTCCTGGAAAATGGGGTAATAATGGCATCTACCTCCTGCTGCTGTTGCTGATGGTGGTGGTGCTGATTATGGTGATGATGATCATTCCAATTTGCTAGGGTTGCCATGACAAAATACCACAGACTAAGTGGCTTAAACAATAGAAATTTACTTTCTCACAATTTTGGAGACGATTAGTATGAGATCGAGGTGTCAGCAGGTTTGGTTTCTTCTGAGGTCTCTCTCCTTAGCTTGTAGATGGCCGTCTTGTCCCATTTCTTCACCATCTTTTCTCTGTACCTGTCTGTGTTAAATTTCCCTCTTCGTACAAGGACAGTCGTCAAATTGGACTAGAGCCCACCCTAGCAGCCTCATTTCAACTTCATTTCATTTTTTGAAAATATATTTTATTGACTTTTTTTACAGAGAGGAAGGGAGAGGGATAGAGAGTTAGAAACATCGATCAGCTGCCTCCTGCACACCTCCTACTGGGGATGTGCCCGCAACCAAGGTACATGCCCTTGAACGGAATCGAACCTGGGACCTTTCAGTCCGCAGGCCGACGCTCTACCCACTGAGCCAAACTGGTTAGGGCTTCATTTCATTTTAAAAGCCCTTTTTTCAAACATGGTCACATTCTTAGGTACTGTTGGTTAGGGCCTCAACCTATGGATTCGGGGACACACGCAATTCAGCCCATAACAACGATGATGGTGATGATGATGGTGATGATGGTGATGATGGTGTTGATAAGAATGTTACCTGAAGGAAAGGACAACAGCTGGGGAATAGAAATTCACCTGCGCCCCTCCTGAGGTTTCCATCTTCACGTCTCCCTGTCTCTCACTTTCCATTTTTCCTACTCATGTTTGCAGGCCTGGGGTGGGGTCAGCAGAGTTCTATCTCTCCCCTGTGGACTTCATTCTTGTTCACCAAACCAAGGAGGTTAGGTGGGCTGAGGAGGGTAGCATTGGTTTTGCCTGTTCACAGCCATGACCAATATGGAATCCCTGCTTCGCCTTCCAAATGTTTTATCATCATCCATGATGACTTTGGATTAAACTAAATGTAAGGAACAGAAGAGACATTTTTAAGTATGTACTTTCTCTTAAAAAAAAAGTTAGCTGTTACAGTCTAGTCATTCATTTCCTGAAATGCATGTGAATATATTTGAAGACTTGATTGTACTTCAGTCATGTTTAATAGCTTAAGAGTTTTTGCTTTCGTCTGTAGAGCAGATGAGTTCTTACAAAATCCCCATCTAATTGAATGTGTGTCTTAGTCACATACTACACTGAAGAAGGCAGTGGCAAATTCTTCGGGTAATAACCACATACATAGCCAGTCCCTTGTACCTGTTTATAAGCTCAAAACAGTATATTCCACTTGGGTAAAGTAGGAGGCATTTCTGTAGCGTGAAGAGACCTGGATTTCATTCCCCGTTCAGCTCTGTGCTCTTGAGCCAGTTTTTTTGTGGGTTTGGTTTTTTTCTCTCTCTGAGCCTCAGTTACTTACTGAGTACTTCACGGAGTATTTCACTGAACACAAGGGAGATAACCTCTGTACCAGCTTTATATCCAGCATGGAGGTCAGTTACATGAAACAGTGTTCATAAAGCACCAGGAACAGGGCTGGAGTCACAGGAGGTCCGTGGTGAAGGTTGACTCAAGAGGATTCCCCAGGTCACAATTAGGGAGAGTTCCTTCCTGTCTGCCCTGACTTGTAATGGCTAATCCTCCAAACTCCTCACAGCCACAGTAAGAAGCAGTCAGGCCAGTTGGTGCCAGACCTGGAAGGGACGTATGAAGAAGCAAATCCAAGGCAGGGTGCATGTTCTCTGCAGCTACGCCCGAGGCCCTCCCACCCCAGGGCTGCTCAAGTTGGTTTGTCACAAAGCCATCAGCCCATCTGTTCTCCATAAAGCGCCCCCTATTCAGGAAGAGGAGACCGAGTCCATTTGCATGATTTCAAAAGGAAAGAACCTTTTAACTTTCCAACGTGGCGATGTCTCCTTTGTGTGTGATTTATGGGTTGACAGCTAGTTGACATTGTGTTTGATTTTAAATAATTGTGGGTTTGGAGCCAAGTGCACCCACGTGCACGCTCACATTCCCGTTCACACACGTTTCTCATTGAGATGTGTCGGTTGGACACGGCGGTAATTAAAATGGCAAGTGGGGGATCGTCAAAAAGCAGGACTGACTGCTCTGTGTCCTCCTGTTCCAACACTCTTTTCAAAATGCTTCCCTGGAACCAGATTAACAGGGAAGTGGAAACAAGTTTCTTCTCTAATGACACCCTATAGTTGAATTGCCCTGAACAGCTTACCAAATGCCCTCACATGCATTCTTTGATTTTTCATATCAACTCTGTGAGGAGGACAGGAGAAGTTATCCTATATCCCTGTAGGTTAAGTTCCTACTACGTGGCAGTGCCAGGACATAAACCCCATGTATTCAGTTACCAGTCATCCAGGGGCACCTAATGTGTGCCAGGCAGCAGCGGGGATAGGAAAGGCCAGGCTGTGTTTCTGCCCACAGCATGCCCTCATCCCCCAGGAAAGGAGGGTTGGAGTTGTGATGCATTGTGGTTCGTTTCACGTTGGAAGTTTGCACAGAGTATTAGGGAGCAACAAGGAATGGCACCTACACCGACCTTGGGAAGGAAGAATCAGAGAAGGCTGCTTAGAGTAGGTGCCCATCAGTTTCGAAGTAGGAGGTACCCCAGAGGCTTAGGGTAGGGAGCAGAAGGAGAATATTCTAGGCAGAGAACATTAGAAGCTTAAAAATATAAAGATGTTGGAGAGCGTGGATTGTCAGGAAACTGTAAGTCGTTTGGAATGCTGGGATAGAGGGTGGAGCCGGGAGGGGGAACAGGGTGGCGGGATTGGACCTTATGGACATGCTAAGGAGTTTGGCCTTTATTCTGGAAGCGGGGGAGCCAGTGAATGGCTTGGGGGAGGGCAGTGATATTCAAATTCCATTTTGGAAAGGCCACTCCAGCTGCAGGGCCAGCCTCCTTGCCGAGGGGTCAAGACAAGAGGCCAGGGAGCGAAGAGGGGGCTGATACAACATTTCAGCAGTTAAATGATAAAGGTTATGCTAAGTTATTGGGGATGGAAAGAGAAGGGGAAACAATAAGTGGTTAAAATTATAGATCTGATATATGTATGTGGGCTATGTTTATTGTTCTATTTTCTCCTCCTTCTTTATGGACAGTCCCCTACTTCCCCATTCTCCAAATGAGCCAACCCACCTGAACCCACCTGAAGCTGAAACAGGTGCCCTGGAACAAACACCACGTCTTCAAAACTGCCTCCAAAATGAACCTGAACCAAATCAATATTTACATGGTTTGTGTTCCTAGCAGGCTGCTGGGTTTAATCCAAAACAAGCTTTGTGGTCAGAAACCATTTGAAACAACAGCAGAGGGAGAGGTTGCCGGTGCCAATGGCACCAGGAGAGAAAGTATCGGGCAGGTGGGAAGAAGGCTGCTCACAGGGCAGTTTGCATCAATAATTACATTGCCTCTTTCTAACTCTATAAGTTGGATTTCCTTAGTAGTAACTAGCTCTAAGGAGTAAAGCATTAGCAGTGGCCACCAATAGCCTCGAGGGTTTTAACATTTTTTTTTCATGCTCTTCCCTCAGCCGAGGTCCCCACGGGCGGAGTAATGGAGCTTCATCACACAAGTCTGGCAACAGCCCACCGTCCCCACGCGAGAAGGACCTTCTGTCCATGCTGTGCAGGAATCAGCTGAGCCCTGTCAACATCCATCCCAGCTATGCGCCTTCTTCCCCAAGTAGTAGCAACTCTGGCTCCTACAAAGGAAGTGACTGTAGCCCAATCATGAGGTGAGTACTGATCATCTTTCAATTCATGGTTCCTTATTCGTCCTACGCGGTAAGTTTTCTTTAAAAAATAGTTACGCAACTCTTGATCCGCTGTCTTATTCTGCAACAAGACACTTCTCTTTCCCACACTCAGCTCATTGTTTAAGGGCTGCTGCAGAAAGAACGCCAGCCACAATCTCTCTTAAGTTTCAGCTATCCAAGTGGTGAGTGGGTCGGGAGGAAAATGGAATCGCTCATGTGTTCATTGAGATACCAGTTATGTGTTGAGTACCACGTTGTGCCAGGTACTGTGTGACGTGCTGGGAATAGAGCAGCGAGCAACAGAGATGGGCCCTGTGTGTACCACCCAGAGGAGAAGAAAGACCTGACTCATCTCATGACAACAACTCATTAAGATTATTCTGCAAGTAGCTGTGTGTGTAAAAGGTGGCCAGGGGTCCCACTCTGAAGGGATCGCTGAGAAAGTGAAATTGAAATGAGATCCGAAGGTCAAACAAGGAATGAGTTAGTCCTTGAGGGATGGGGGTGGGGAGGCAGAAAGAAGGAACTGCACATCCAAAAGGGCCAGGGCAGGAGGAACAGAGGGCTGGGAGCTGGACTCAGGCCCTCTTGGATGGAGTGCAGGCTCAGGGGGAACAGGGCGAGGGCAGTGGCTTGGGCTGGGTCCAGAGTCAGGGGAGAAGCTGCCAGCCGTCCTCCTTCAGCCCCTTCCTCTGGCCGTCTGTTCTCATCAGTCAGCTCTCGTACAGCCTGGCAGGGGCCTGGATTCCAGCTCCGGGTGGTCTGTAGAACATCAGGCACCTCTCTTACCAAACACACTCAGCCTCGTTCCATCAGAAGGAGGAAACTGCCCACGGAATCAGCACACTCACTCCAGGGACTGGTTTCAGAACAATTTGAATTCAGCGCATAACAATTAAGATCTTAAGGGCACATTGTGTGGAAAGTTAGGTCATCTCGCTCCCTTCCTTCCCTCCCGCCTGCCCTCACTCATTGTCCTTTAACATAACAGCCTGCTACTCTGAACTGGCAGGCAAGCCCTGGACCATTGTGTATTATTTTGTCTGAGATCATTCAGAAGCCATAGAAAATCCTCCCTCTCCCCTGTCACCCTCCCCACACACTACCCTGATATTCCATGTACTGAACATCCTAAGACTGGCAGGTATATTGCCATCCCCTTTCATGGTGAGGTCACACGTTACTGAGGTTTAATAAGATCTCAACACACGGCCGCCACTTCTTCTCAAGCTCTTTTCTGTGCCTTACTTGGCCTTTTTATGCTAAAGGTAACATTCTGTTACTTGGGCTGTTTCAGGCGGTCTGGAAGGTACATGTCCTGCGGTGAGAATCATGGGGTGAAGCCCCCAAATCCAGAGCAGTATTTGACTCCTCTGCAGCAGAAAGAGGTGACAGTGAGACACCTGAAGACCAAGCTGAAGGAATCTGAGCGCCGACTCCACGAGAGGTGAGTCCCAGTTCCTCGCACAGGGTGGTTTAGGACAGTTGTTATTTTTGTTTTGTTTTGTTTTGTTTTCTATAAAATGAAATAAGAAACTACACTGTAGAAAAGTGGAAAAGAAGAAATGTGATTTCATTTCTGTCATATTTCATAACTCAGTCTCAGAAGATTTGGCTGTTTCAGGAGTTCAGGGGACCCTCCTTGGTTAGAGGGGACTGCCTACCTGCTCTGGGTGTGAGCAGCTTTGACAGGAGGAGTTGGGTGTGTGCCTGACTATTTTTAAATGGCAGGAACACTCAGAGCAACAATCCATACTTCCAGCCCAATGGGTCACACACAGGGAGCCCCTAGTAAGCTCTGTTTATTTCTGTGAGAGAGTGGATGGCTGTGTGCACTGTGATTCCTGCCAGCTATTTCTGTGCTGAAGGAAGAGGTTCATTATTCTTGGCCAAGTGTTGAGGTAAAAAGCAAAACAAAGCAGCCCATGCTTAAGAGATCTTATCTCGGAGAGAAGAGACCTTTGACAGTTGGAGCAGATGAGATTCTCTGCTTGATGGTTTTCCCCTGGAACATTTTAGGATGGATGAGCAGAGCTCCGACCAGGGTAGCTGTGAACCCAGGGTAAGGTTGCCCGGAGTCAGACCCTATTTTCTGGAAGTCTTTGGGGTATGATTTGAGGAAACCATGAGAGGGTTTGAGCAGTCATGGGAGGGAGAATATTCAAGCCTAAGCTTAAAGCAGCAAAAAAACTGACATCTCTTCAGATATGTCAAGATCCTCACTGCCAGGTCTTCATATCCCTGAGAATGTGTGGACATAGGAAGGCATTATATGTAAGGAAGAAATTTTCAACAAAGATCTTGAAGTAGAGTCCTTTAAGGGATCTAAAAACATAGGCTAGATTCTCTTCAGTATAGGATGGATCTGATATCATCTTACCTGAGAGAAGACAGAATAATCAATTTTTCACAAAGTCCTTGCAACATGTATCATTTTATGATTTAATTTTTTTAAAAAAATTATCATTGGAATATGATGAGAGAAATTCTGCCTTCTTAGATAGGTGATTGAAAGTGAAATGGGCTCAGCTGGAGTGTCTCAGTAGTTAAGCATCAACCTATGAATCGGGAGGTCTCAGTTCGATTCTCGATCAGAGCACATGCCTGGGTTGTGGCCTCCATCCCCATTGTGGGGCATGCAGGGGGCAGCCAATCAGAGATTCTCTCTCATCATTGATGTTTCTATCTCTCTCTCCCTCTCCCTTCGTCTCTGAAATCAATAACAATATGTATATATTTTTTAAAGTGAAATGGACTTTCCTTCCACAAACAACCTATATATATAAAAGGCTAATATGCAAAGTGTCCCCTTGGGTGTTTGACCGGGAGACTCGAAGTTCAATTGCTCACTATGACCTGCGCTGACCACCAGGAGGTGGCATGGAATGAAGGAAAGCCCGATCAGCCCTGATCGCTGGCCAGGCCTAGGGACCCTACCCATGCACAAATTTTGTACACCAGGCCTCTAGTAGGTATATAAAAGGATAACTGAGACACTCTAATATGTTCTAATAATAAAATTTCAAATATTAAGGTTGGTCTTTTTAAATATATTTTTATTGATTGCAGAGAGGAAGAGAGAGGGAGGGAGATAGAAACATCAATGATGAGAGAGAATCATCAACTGGCTGCCTCCTGCACACCCCCTACTGGGGATCGAGACCACAACTTGGGCATGTGCCCTGACCAGGAATCGAACCATGACCTCCTGGTTCATAGGTCGATGCTCAACCACTGAGGCATGCCAGCCGGGCTCAAATATTAAGTATTAAATAAGGTATAATGCTTGTAAAATACTTAATGCAGTGCCTGACATGTAGTGATGCTCCAAAAAGAGGGGGAAAAACAATAGGAGTGTTTTTTATTCTGATTCTAGTTACTAGAATTATTTTTAGCTATTTTACAGTTGGGGGTGGGCTTATTCATGGGTATTAACCTGGGAAAGAAAAAATGTCAAAACTGATTTAATTAAGTCTGTGTTTCAAGTGGAAGAGTTTGGTCATTTGCCTGTGTGTCAGCTGGCTCAGAGATGACATTTTTCTCAGCCTCCTGGGTCTGCTCCTCTTCTCACTGCAGGGAAACAGAAATTGTGGAGCTGAAGTCCCAGCTGGCCCGGATGAGGGAAGACTGGATTGAAGAAGAGTGCCACCGGGTGGAGGCCCAGTTGGCCCTCAAGGAGGCCAGGAAAGAGATCAAACAGCTCAAACAGGTCATCGAGACCATGAGGAGCAGCCTGGCCGATAAAGACAAAGGCATTCAGAAATACTTCGTGGACATCAACATTCAGAACAGGAAGCTGGAGTCCCTCCTGCAGAGCATGGAGCTGGCGCACAGTGGCTCCCTGAGGGATGAGCTGTGCCTGGACTTCTGCGATTCCCCGGAGAAAAGCTTCCCCCGAGACACCCCTGTTGGCCAGACGGCAGATGGGCTGTCCGTGGAAGAGCAGGTCACAGAGGAAGGGGCGGACAGTGAGCTGCTGGTGGGAGACAGCATGGTGGATGGCTCAGATTTGTTGGATGAGCTGGCGACGGCCACCGCCACCCAGGCTGGCGACCTGGAGCTGCTGCATTGCACCCCTGGGGCAAAGGTCCTGGCGATCATCCCCACGGAGGTGGGTCCAGAGGTGGGCCGTGTGGTGGTGGAGCGGGCTGTGCAGACCGACGTGGTGCCCTACAGCCCCGCGGTCTGTCCTGGCAATCATCCCCACGGAGGTGGGTCCGGAGGTGGGTCCGGAGGTGGGCCGCGTGGTGGTGGAGCGGGCCGTGCAGACCGACGTGGTGCCCTACAGCCCCGCGGTCTCCGAGCTCATTCAGTACGTGCTCCAGCTCCAGGACCCCTGTGCCTGGGGCTCAGCATCGCCTTCTGAGTCTGCAGCTGATTCCACAGAAAGCTTCGCGGAGTCCATCTCCGCGTTGATGGTTGATTTAACTCCAAAGAATCCAAACTCAGCCATCCTTTTGTCTCCCGTGGAGACCCCAGACGCCACGGTGGGGGCGCAAGCTCCTGCAGATCGCCTCATGAGAGAGCTGGATTTTGCAGGTTGCACAGAAGAAAGGCTGGACGGCATCATCCCGTGGGCCCCGGGGGCCGTGGGGAGGCAGTACTGGAGCCGCAGTTTCCTGGTGGATCTCCTGGCCGTGGCTGCCCCCGTGGTGCCCACCGTGCTGTGGGTGTTCAGTACTCAGAGGGGGGGCACGGATCCCGTGTACAACATCGGGGCCTTGCTCCGGGGCTGCTGCGTGGTTGCCCTGCACTCGCTCCGCCGCACCGCCTTCCACGTCCAGACCTAGAGAGCAGTGGTGGTTCCGTGTGCCAGTGGGTCCCAGGAGGTGTGGTGCCAGGTGGAGAAGCAGCAGGTCGACCCAGGGTGGTCTCTGTTCTGTCGTGTTGCTCCTCGGTATCTGATTTGCACTATGTTTAGTGGGAGCCTGTTCCCTGTGGAGGCCCGGAGGTATCTTCAAAGGCATGGAGACCTGGTTCAAGTCAAAAGCCCCACCCGTGTGGTGTCGAAAGCATGCTCGTGACCCTGCGTGTCGTCAGAGGTGCCCGTTCTTACCCTGGTGGTTCAGGAAGAGAAAATGCAAAGTTTGCACTTTCAAGACAGCTTCTGTCCTGCCGGCATGCGATCTCCTTGCTTTGCTTCGTGCTGTTTTCCAATGTGTGATTGTTCCAGCATTCCTGATGGTCTTGTGCATAGCAGGGGACTGTAACCAAAAATGAACATGTATTTGCGCCCTTGGTTTGAAGAAGTCTTGACTAATCCTTTAGTGTCTTCATTGGGGTTGATAAGGTTTGAGTGTTTGCCGTTTTCTACTAAATGTAGCTCCAAAGTCTAAAAATGGCTTGTTTGTTCTTAAATCTGTTAATTGATGAAACTGTCTGTAAGTTTACAGTGTATTAACTTATTTTTTGCTTCTTATATATAGTGTTTTATTGGAAATGGTTTGTAACCAGACACTTTGGCATGATGAAAATAAAGATTAGTGTTTCCAGTTAAATAAATGTTTTATCCTCCTATAAAATGATGATCTCTGCAGTTTTATTTTAATAGATAAAAAAAGATTAAATAAGTAGCAGATCCTTCCATGGTTATCAATAGTGGTCTGTAAAAATGGGATTAATTTAAGAGGAAATTAGAAAGAGGAAACATAATTATTAAAGGTGAGGATTTCCTATCCTGTCTTTTTTTAAAAAAACAACATTGTTTCTGAGTAAAAGTAGCTTTGGTGGTTGGTTTGTTTTTAAATTACCCATACACTTGTTTTTCCACATATTTATTCAGAAAGGATGTGTTGACTATTTTCAGGAAAGTTGTGTTGACTTTTTTCCCAGGCATGTTAAGGGTGCAGAGAGGGAGAATATGTTAGGACCATACTCCCTCCTCCCCTTGGAATAATAGGGTGAGGGTAGGTGGCTGGGGAAGGATGAGATAGTATTTGATCCGTATTCATTTCTTCACATCAATCTTGGGAAGTGGGTATTACTCCATTTTACAGATGAGGGAGCTGAGCCTCAAAGACGTGCTCAGAATGTCCTAATTCATCTCTGAAGCCAAGATTTCAAGGGTCAGCAAAGCAAATACCTTTCCACTTTACCACACAAAGGGAAGCGACCTGGAGAATATCCTAACTTCTCATTCAGAAACTCTTCTTCCATGTAGAACTTTTTACCTTTAATGCTATATTTTTTATCTACTATGCCTTGGTTATTGCCCATCCCCCAATAAAATATTAACTCTCTGAGGGCAGGAATCTGTGTTCTGTTCTATTTTGTTCATAAATTATGTCAAGAATTTATATGGCACATAGTATGTGTTAGGTCCATGCCGACAGGAGCCAGGTCAAGAGACATGAGTGTTTAAGAAATTTTATTACATTCTTGTCTCAGCCCTTCTGTTCACAGATGTAACAATACATTTATAAATTTTGCTTTTTAACTTCATTCAGCCTGGTTCCTCTCAGCATCGACTTAACAGTAGGGATTCTAGCAATAGCTGTTAAATGAAATAATTTATCCAACAAATTCTTATTGGGTGCTCACATGCTAGGCACTTTACTGGCTTGGTCTTCAGTGGTGGAGGATACTGTTTCTTCCTTGAGAGGTCTTAGATTCTGCCTGTGAAAGACATAAAATATGTCAGCAAGATCATTTTAAATAGCGGTAAGTGCTTCCAAGGAAATAAACAAGGTGAAGGAAAGGAAACATTAGCACTGATGGGTGAAAAAGAGCCTGTCACATGAAAATATGGCAAATAAAATGTTGCAAAAAGAACAAATGCAAAGGCCAAGAGTCAGAAAAGGGCTCAACATTTTATAGGGGCTTCAAAGAGGCCAGTGGCTAGAGCAGAGGGAAGAAGAGGAGGTTTGGAGAAGTGCACAAGAAGCTAGTTCATATGGTGCCTTGTAAATCATGGTAGGGTTGGGTTGAATTTATTCCCAGTGCAATGAGAAATATTAATGGACTTTAAACAGAACAATAATATAATCTGGTTTCTTTCTTCTCCCCTTCTCTCTCCCCCACCCCCGCTGGCTCCCCCCCCCATTTTTCCTCTTTACCCCCCTTTTCTCTGGCTGCACTGTAAGCAGGCAGGAGCAGCAGAAGCAGGGAGACCATTTAGAGATCTATTGTAAATAGTCCAGGTGAGTAATTATGACAATTTGGAGGTGGATATAGAGATTACGTTGAATAACTGAAGATATAGCTTTGAAGATACAACTGTTGTGATTTGCTGATAGATTAGATGTAGGAAGGGGGTGAGGTAGGGTTTAAGGAAGAGAGAAATTAAGGATGGGTGATTCTCAGGTTTTTAACTTGAGCACCTGTGTCAATGGTGGTGCCATTTACTGAAAGTATAAAGCGATCGAGAAAAACAAGTTTGGGAAAATAAATTTGAGATGTCTATTAAACACCTGTGTGGAAATGTCAAGTGAGTAATTGCATATTTATATGAATGTGAAAATCATGGGAGCTGTCAGGGCTAGAGCTATAAAATTGGGGTTCTTCGGCCTTTATTTACTATTTAAAACCATGGGATGGATGAAGTCATCCAGGGAGAGTGTAAAGAAGAAGGCCAAAGACTGAGTCTGGGGCACTTCCACATTTAGATAGAGGATGAAGACCCAACAAAACAGCCTGATAAAAGGCAGCAAAAGGCAGAAATTGTTTGCCTCAACAATAGGAGGCAAACTCGTGCATGTAGTATTATGAAAACCAAAAGGGAGAGTGATTCAAGAGTGGACCGGTCAACTCTGTTGAAATCCTACCAAGAAGCTGAATAACGTGAGAACATATACATGTCCACTGGCTTTGACCACGAAGTCTTAGTGACTGTCAAGATCATTTCTTTGGACAAATGGGCATGGAAGCCAGATTGAAGTGGGCTGGTGAGTGACTAGAAGAGAGAAAGTAGAAATTGATGCATGCAGCTAATTTTTTTTTTAGGCTAAGTTTTTACTGAAGGGGTATAAATAAGTAGGTGATAGTTACAAGGGCACATGGATAAAGGGGTTTTAGTTTTCAAAGGAGATAGAGCACATTTATACACTTTGTGATTGAGCCGGCTAAGTTTTTACTGAAGGGGTATACATAAGTAGGTGATAGGGCACATGGATACAGGGGTTTGTTTTAGTTTTCAATATTGGGAGGAGATAGAGCACATTTATACACTTTGTGATTGAGCCAAAGAAGAGAAAGAAATTGATGGCCTAGGAGAGAGGATCAGCTAAAGGAGGGGAGCCCTTGAGAACATGAGAAGGAATAGGATGGAGGGCACAAGGATGTGCATGTGGGTGATGGTTTGTCTCTGAAAGGCCATTGCTCCCATTGGAACACACATGGGCACTCAACACACAGCCGTACAGAGACTTGGCTGAAATGGAATGGAAACTATTTTGGGAGGTGAATAACCGGAACTGTCCCAAAATAATGAGCCGTGCTGACTCAGGTCCCTTCCTGTAGTCCAGCCCAAACCAATACCTAGACGCTGTTATCTTCCTTACAGTCCCTCCTTGTGTTTATTTTTAGTCATTGCTAAATCCACCCATTTTTACTTTAAGAAAAATTATAAGGGTGATTTTGGTGTCCACTTGTTGCTACAGAAATGATTATAACTACACAAATTCAGCACTGTTCTTTATCAAATCAAGATGGTTGGAAAGATGGGCTCTGGTAAAGAATTCTCCATGAACCACAAATATTTATGTTGATTATCAAATTGGAGGCAGCAGATCATGAAGAGCAAATTGTTTTGTTGTCTTAATGACCTGCATCCTTCTGTAAACCAAACGGTTCAAAGTTAACTACATATTCTATCCACACCGAGACAAATTGTGCAGATAAAACCGGAGATTCTGGAGCAGCTACTGTGCTTTCCTTCCCCACCCCCACCCCAGCAGTTACTCTGTTTTTCTGTTTCTCCCCTGCCACCTCCACCCTTCTCCAAGGTTTCAGTATGTATAGTCTGTGGAAAATTACTGCTTGCATTCAGAACGTTCTTTCACAAGTGAGTCCCCTGGAGTAAATACAAGATGCAGCATAGCTTGCCTTTCCACAGCCCTAGGCGTTGGCTGCGTTTGTGGACAGGATGATCTGATCCCATAGAAAGAAGTGCCTCTAAGTTGCTTCCCGTAATTCGGATGCCTGTGATGCACAAACAGGCAGGAAAACGGAAAAAAAGAACAAATCCTCTCTACTGAACACATTGCTGTCCCATCAAAGCAAATGTTAAACATTCCCGACAGTTATGTGTGCAAACATTCCAATTTATAAGAAAAGATTTTTCCCCAAAGGGATATGTTGACCTTTCAAAGTTGAGCTGTTCAGAAAGGGAGGGGAAATGCAATGTACTCAGATGCCAAGCGTTTCTGACATTTGGGCAGGAGAAAAAGGAAGTCTGTGATTTGCATTTATCACAGGCCCTCCCTAAGTACTGGTTGGGTCTGATGTGTTTTTCTTTTGAGGATTTTTTCATTTTAAAAGTCTTGGGGTAGTTTCTGACTTCTATTTTGGCTCCGTGAGCACTTTTACAAAATTCACTTACTTCCAGTCTTACCAGGCAACATGTATACAAGGAAGCAGTAACCTAGGCAATTAAACATAGCAGTATATAGCAACGAAGGCTTGAAAGAATGTCAACAAATTCCCAGTTGTTGCAAAGAAAAACAATTAGAAAGTCCAAATAGAATAAAAAAAATTATGTCAAGTCATTATGTTTAAACCCCTGGAAGAGATGCTGGGCTGTGACTACTG